CTGAGGACCACAATGAAGTCCATGACATTCCAGCCATTGCGGAGGTACGAGCCCTTATGGAAGATGAACCCCAGGGCCACAATTTTGATCCCAGCTTCAAAGCAAAAGATTCCAATGAAGTATGGTTCTGTCTTCTCCTGTGGGATGAAGAACAGAGATACCAGTAAGTACCTCTTCGTCAGATGCAGGCAAAGGCACGCCCCAGCCACCCCCACCGCTCTGACCTTTCCTCTCGCCTACAGGAAACCAAGACATCTGCCCCCTGTACAGGAGGGTAGGGAGGGGGCTGGAGGACTCATGGAGTGCACAGAGCGAGGGAAGCTCGGGGGACCAGCTGCAGAGATGGATGGACGTGGGGTCACACCCAGGACCAGGCTGTTCCCCTGCAGATGACCAATGGCGCTGGCTTTACCCTGAAAGAAACGGCTTTGCCATGGCTGGGCTTCACTTACATTGGAAGCTTAAAAGCTCTCAGTCACAGGTAATCAGGCCGGAACTGCTTCCTCACACATCTGAATTTTAAACAGTTTGTTTGCTCCCTTTAGGGGGAATACATTAGGCACATGAATTATTTCTCTAAGGAGAGTATGGACGTCACGTTTAGGAAGCTCATAACCGTGAACACACACAGGCTCTGAGCATCCTCCATTGCTTTCTCCTCTCACTTCAAAGGTCCCCTAGGAAGGGAATGGCCCCGGGCCTGCCCTTTCTCCTTGTCGGGCTATAGGGCAGTGCGTGTACCGTGTTTGCAATGCCCTCAGAAGCTCCTAGGAGCAGGAGTTGAAAGGGTCAGTCCTCTTGTCCTTATGAACCCTGATGGGGTTTGTCACCAACTCATCCCTCAGCGAAGAAAAACTCCTCACAGAACTCTAAGGCAGGGAAGGAGGGCAGGGGACCAGGTGACGGAGCAAAGGAGAAGGGAGCCGGGGGAGAGACAGACAAGAGGGAAACAGGCACATACCAGTCTGCGGGACATCGGGGTCTTGTCGTCCTCGGGAAGATGCTGCTCCAGGGCCAAGACGATGCAGTTGGCGATGATGGTGGCCAGGATCATGTACTCAAACGGCGTGGGAAAGGAGGAGTTAAGGAACAGATTCACCAAAGAGAGAGGGACGCAGCCTCCTAGATGGCCATGCACATAAACACACAAGCTTTATCAGCCCCCACTGTGTCTGTGGGGTCTGCATGATTTATAAGAGCAGGCGGGCGGGCCTGCAGGACAGTGGATGGTCCTCAGCCTGGGAGGCTATACCCATCTCTGACTGGGCTCGGAACACGAAGCATCTTCTCTAAGGAAAGGAAAAGTGGAGCCAAGAAATACGAGGCCCTGACAACTAAGTTCGCGAACCTGATGTTGCTAACCTTTTTCGATATCAGAAGGATTATTCATTATGAACTTGTGCCAACTGGACAAACAGTTAACCAAGTTTACAGTTTGGAAGTGCTGAAAAGGCTGCGTGAAAATGTTAGATGACCTGAACTTTTCACCAACAGTTCATGGCTCTTGCATCACGACAATGCACCAGCTCACACGGCACTGTCTGTGAGGGAGTTTTTAGCCAGGAAACAAATAACTGTATTGGAACACCCTCCCTACTCACCTGATCTGGCCCGCAATGACTTCTTTGTTTACTTGAAGATAAAGGAAATATTGAAAGGAAGACCTTTTGATGACATTCAGGACATCAAGGGTAATACGATGACAGCTCTGATGGCCATTCCAGAAAAAGAGTTCTAGAATTGCTTTGAAGGGTGAACTAGGCCCTGGCATTGGTGCATAGCTTCCCAAGGGGAGTACTTCGAAGGTGACTCTAGTGATATTCAGCAATGAGGTATGTAGCACTTGTCCTCGGATGAGTTCGTGAACTTAATTGTCCGACCTTGTACTACAGTTAGACAAATGGTAGACACTCCAGGTACTCAGTGAACTCATTGACATGTCCGGGAATTAACGAGGGCTGAAAATGGAAGTTGAGAGAAGGGAGGGAGAGACACTGACGCCATCGCAGGCCCCTGTCCCTCCCAGTCTTCATACCACTGGAGTGTACAATGACACTTCAGCAAGGACCCAGCTGTGTCTCTGGGGATCACAGCTAGAGTCCCCTCCCCTAGAACCTCTGCTCCTGAGTAAAAGAGCTCTCAGAAAAGGAATAGTGCTCTCCACGTGAGCTCCTTTCCATTGTAATAGCCAATTCAGAAACGATTTAATGGGGCCAGGAGAAGCTTACTCTGTGTCCCACCTTATTTTCTCCTAAGCTCCTATATCCACAGGAAACAGACACACATCATGAGTCTAACTCCAGGACAGTGTAGCTGGGGCATCTAGGAACCAAACTACAAATGAATGAATAATGCATCCAGGCTTTTTTTCTGTTGCCTTTATCTGAAGACAGGTGAGGGGGCTCCCTGTGCCTTTTTGAAAAACAGGACTATGATTCTAGTGCCAGCATCCCGACTCCTGCAGAAAAGGCTGTGCCACGAGCCCAGGGCGGAGTAGCAGCAGGGACTGTTAACAAAGACAGAGAAAGGAAACCACGGGCTCCTGAGGTGAGTTACTCTACACGTTGGATTTTATTCTTTAACTATTGTTGTGACAAACACAAGCCAGCTGTTGCCCCTGGTCATGCTGAGTAACCTATGCTCTGGTAGATGCGGGAGGAGGGGGTGGGCCTGGCAAAGTGGAGGGAAGGGAAGGGATGGCGCCCCTGTCTCCCCACGCCTCCGGGCTGACTGCGTGGGATACAGGACCCAGAGCCCTCCCTCCCTAGGGAGTCCAGGAGGGCCAATCCTAACATGACCCTGATGCCTCCCCACCCCCGCCATGACATTGTTGCCAGGGGACAATGGCAAACGAGCACTCGGAGCATCTCTGAAGAGGGGCAGGGCAGAGGACCTCTGCAGGTAGAGGTGGCATGTGCAAGGAGATAGGCGCTGCCCCACCAGCTGGCCCTGGCGCTAGAATGGGAGGCTGCAGGGGCTGAGATGACTGACTTTTTATTCTCATTTGGCAGCACCATCACCTCCCCATCCCCGTGCATCCCTGAGTCACAGCCCATTCTCCAGCAGCTGGCCATCCATCCTTCCCACGCACCCCCAACACGCACATAGGACTCATACCCTCAGGGACAGCTCTGCTGGCCTCTGCTGCCTTGTGGAGCTCAGCCATCAGGTCTGAAAACTGGATGGGCTCAGAGGACCTCAGAGCCAGCCCGCTGCCTCCTCTCCCCGCTCTGCTTGCTTAGATGGTCCCCATCTGAGTGCAGCCCCACCTCACGGGGAGTCCCTCAGCACACCTAGCCATTCCTCTACCTTCAGTCTCTCTGGGGACCCAGCTAGGCCCCTGAGAGCTAAACATGCTGGCAGACACACACCATAGATGCCCACCTAGCTTGTGTGCCCATTTCTCAGGACAAACCACCCACACGGCTCACCCAGGGACCCCAGTGCCCACGGATCACAGAGGGACTATTCCCCGCTCTCATCGCAGGCTGTAATGCAAAGCTCTGAACAAGTGTCAACTGACCAGGGACCACACCAGAACCTGGTGTCCCATAAGCCCTCTGAATGGGCTTGCTTGTCCTGGGCCGGGGTCAGGCACTCAGAATTGCCCAGGCCCAAATGGCAGGATGAAGATGAGAATGCGGCAGAAGTGCTGGCCGGAGCCCCACACCCTTTCCTGAGACCATGCCTAGGGGACGGGGGCAGAAAGGGAACTGAGAACATCCTGCAAGCCACTGACAAACGACAACAGAAGTGGAAGGCGTTTAGGGCAGTGTTCCTAAAATGCAAGCCATGGAATACTAGTGCTCTAGGAACTTGTAATCAAATAAATGAGGGAAAGCCGGGGTTCTGCACAGTGAAGCACATTTCCTCCCAGCAGACTTCCCAGAGCCTGTAATACTATTACATACAGTGAGCACCACCTCCCTAGGGGGCGTTGGGAATAGCACACAGAACTCCCCACTCCGTTCACCATATAACCCTTTGGTCAGAACATCTCGCTTAGGAAAGGTGTTCATAGGGACATATTTGGGAAGCTCTGAGACAGGGCAGATCTGACTGCCAGCCCCATGAGTGGGTGGGAGGAGGGCTGCTGGCTCTGATCGGAGTGAAACTACTGTCCCTTCCCCCTCACACCCTATCCTTGTCCCTAACAAGTGTGGACAAAGTGTGGGGCTCAGCGGGCCACTCGCTATGGCTGGCGTCATCGCCCCATACAAGCTCAGAAAGTGCTCGGCAGGGCCGAGGAGCCAAGCTGGTGACCTGGGAAGGGGGACTGGGGACGTGCATGTTCTCATTCTAGCTACAGACATCATGAGCTCTCATGGGTCTGACTGGGGTTCATGATTGCTTTTGGGGGTTCGGGCTTCTTCCCCTCAAAACCTTAAAGGGATAACCATAGACTTAAAAGTAAATGAGCTCTTAGTTGCTGACCTACAGGCAAGACCATTCCTGGCAGCTGTCCACCCAGCAACACCTGCGTGGACTGCTGCAGCCCCTCTGTCCCCCCTACCCTCACCCCTTGCTCCACTAGCACACCTGCATTTTCCTAGTCAGACAATCTAAGTATACAGCTCCCTGCTAGGATCTTTAAGCTCACATAGCCCAGAAGTCCAAGTGCAGATATATGAAGCTTGTCAGGGAACGCAGGCTAGCCTCAGGAAGGGTGTGGCTGTCACCACTGCAGGGTGCTCAGGGCAGAAGAAAGGCTCTTGCCTGGGTGCTAATGAGCCAGACATACCGTGACAGGCTAGGTGTCTGGATGGCTGAGAATTCATGAGGTCTCAATGAGTGGTGCTACCTAAGGCCCTGGAGGCCAGAATCTAAGGGTGAGGGTTTCGTAATTCACAGGTTTGTGAAGGCCCCATTCCCGCGTCCTTCCCCCACCCAAAACCTCTGTCTACGGTCTGATGTCTAAAGACCCATTCGGAGCGGAGATTCTTCGGCTTAAGATTCTGAAAACTGTTCAAAGGCACCTACCCTTGAGAGGGAAGTCCCTTTAGACCTCATAGATCATCTACAGCTCAGGATGAATTCGTGTCTGGGACAGTTAAGAGGTGAGATTTTGTTGCAGAAGAAAAAGTGAGGCTGGGAATTGCAGGTATCCGTGGACTAGATTAAAGGAAGGATGGTGAAGGAGAAATCTTAGGAGGGATGGGGAGAGCAGGAAGAACTCCGGCTCTGCCTGGGTCCCTGCCACGCTCCCTTACAGCCCTCTTCTCTCTTTGACCTATCTGGTCATACTCCTACGTCAAGATCAAGGTGAACTATGTCACCTCGTCTATAAAGGCTTCTCCCTGTGCCCCATAGCTCTTGGCACTGTGCAACTGTATCATTTCCTTTCATCTTTACCTCCCCCCGAACAACGACGCCTTGAAAGCAGCAACTGTATTTTGCTCATCTCCCCACTGGCCGTGCTTAGCGGAGCTCCTGGTACACAGTAGGCACTCACTCAACATTAAATGGAGGCACGAATGAATGTGAGGCATCTGCTTGAACAGCAGCTCCATTGAGAAGCCGTCACAAGATGGGGTTGTCATCACTCAACAGGCTCAGACTGCACACCCCCACCCCTAAAGCTGACCTAGAGGCACCACTTCCATTTCCCCTGCCAGCAGAACTTTGCAGCGGGTAACAAGGGCTCCACTACACCTCCAACGGGAAGAGCCTGGACTCAAATAATGGCTCCTGGGTCAAGCGAATGCACCTCACAGGCGAGACAGAGGTGTGACATGGGAAGATCAAAGGAAGCTCCGGATCACCAAGGCCCCTAAGAACCACCCTTCATGGGACAGGATGCATAGAAGCCCCTCCTGCCAAGAATTCAGTGACTCCCATTATATTCTGTGCCTGACATAGAACGGGTGTTGGAGAAAGTTCTCTCTCCCTGGTGTCCACTGTTTGTGATTTGAGATATTAAACTCACAGAGCTAATGGAGCAGTGAGACGTGGGACCCTGAGGGCAGGGGCTTTGCCTGTCTTCTTCAACTCTGCACCCCTGGGGTCCAGCACACAGTGGGTACTCAATAATTGTTCTTTAATCAATCAATCAATCAATCAACTGATA